TGCCATCTGGACCCACTGCTTTCTTCCGCCCCATCTTCCTCAGAGCCTCTTTAACTTCCGTTGTTTGGATCCTTCTCACAAAATCACGATTTACCATACAATCCGGTATGGTCAAATCACCGATATCTTGCACTTTGTTCCCATTGAACAATGTATCAAAGTATGACATCCACCTCTCTTTTATCTCTCTGTCCTCCATTAATATCCTTTGATCGACATCCTTCACACATTTAACTTTTCCGATATCTTGAGTCCTGCAATCACGAAGACGAGCAAGTCTATAGATACCTTGTTCTCCTTCCTTAGAGTCCAATTTTTCATACATCAGTGTGCTCATAGCATCGGAAAAATTTATAACTTTTGTACGTTAATGAGAAAAAAGCTAATTCAAAAAAGGTTGAACAGAAATGACTCCAAACCGTGAAGCAAGGCCCTCAGTAATTGCAAAGCCAATGCCAGAATTTGCACCAGTAACCACACAGTTTTTAGCTTCCATTCGTTGCTCCATATCTTCAGGTTTGAATTTTTTTGAATGTTCCCTGGATTATGTTAACAATGTTTAAATTTGGATATACTGTCAAGTAAAATAAGACTACCAACGGCCAACTTGAAGACCAAAAGAAAGAAATGCATAGTCTATTAAAAGAACATATAAATATCATTCTAAAAAAGGGTTGTTTCTCAAAGGTACAACTTTTGAATCATACTAAAGTACAACTATTGGAGATCATCAACTCTAGCTATATTTGATATATAACTTTTTAACATAAAAAAAAAATAGCTTTATATAATGATATAATTATATTTAACATATGTAAATTGTTTGGGACACTTTTTTGGAAAAAACACATCAAATATAGAGTAATAAATTAGCTTTTTTGCTCAAATAGGATACTTTGTGTGAAAAAAAATAAGCGGGCTCCATTTGTGGGAAGGAGGGAGTAATTGCCAACATTTTGTTATTTTCTATGTTCTACCTCAAGAATGATGCAGGATGTGTAACTCATAGACAATCTTTCTAACATTTAGCCCTTATACGGATGGAAGATTTGATGGGAAGGGTGATATTTAATTTAAATAATTAATTCTTACATTTCAGATGGGAGGGGTGATATACAGTGATCCATTATTTAAGTGAACATATAGTTGTTACTGCATATTTTTTGGTCTACAACTAATAAATAGAGATATGTTAGTAAAGCCTACCATACCCTCCAAGACCACCCAATCAACAATCCCTTAAGGTACTGAAACTCTGTCAGTCTGTCAAAAGAGTATAAGACTATTACATAGAAACTAGGGGCGAACAGAAAAACCAAAAAAACGAAACTGACCAATAAACCTAGCAAAACTGAACCGATCAAAACCGATTTACTCATATTCGGTTTGGTTAGCGGTATACAATTTTGGGTTAGAAAAAGACCGAACCAAAACCGACCAACAAAACCCGACCAAAATGAGCTAAAACGGACTGAAACCGGTACAAACCAACCAAAATTAACTAAATCAAAACCGACTGAAACTGACTCAAGTTGTGTGGTTCTGCTCTCCGTTTTAACTTTTTTTACAACCGACCGCGACTAAAGATTGAATCGATAAAATCAAAACCGAACTGACGAACGACCGCAATAGAAACAATGCACTACTTTTTCAATGGTTACCACAACAACTTTTTTCGTCAATCCACGGAACAAGGTTAAACAATGTATGGGAATGGTTTCACTAAAACCTTATTCAACTTTTTTAAATTTGACAGCAACATAACACGAATGCGATATGCCTGAATAAGCACATTTTGAAGTAAATTGAACGCTTCAGGATGTTTTTAGTTGGATTGGTTTCAATCCCAGATCAGACCAGTCTTCAACAGTTGTAAAATACACATTGACATCTACCAGACAAGACTAAACTAAAATAGGCCAAACCAGATCAGAAAATTACAGTCCAATTAAAATCGTAGTGTAAGCTATTAAGTAATACTCCATCTCTCTAAAAAAAACTGTGTGATTTGAAATTAGTTCGAAATTTACAAAAAAAAACATAGAAACATACTGGTATAATGAGAAATCAAAAAAATAAATCCAAGATAATATCTCTATATTCACCTCTAAAAAACAAAACCTGAAAGAAGTAAATTTGTAAAGCTCTTTTAACAACACTTCGAGTGAACCTAAAAGAAACTATTTATTCGAAATACTCCTGATTTTTGTAACTATAGTCACTATACACATTTTTCGTAAATAATCTTTATCTTTTCAGTGTAACCGAAAAAGTAATAAATAAAACTTAAACATATAAATATATTTTTACGTTTTCTGAAGTGTAATCAAGCTACATAACCAGCAAAGAAAAATTTACTTACAAAAACCCTGATTTGGTGAAGTTTAGATACCCATAGATGGAAAATGAGGTGGTTCTCCATGTCTGCTTACAGCAAAATTTCCGTTAGCAAAGGTATAACTGAAACATGCATAAATCACCAGAGACAAAAGAAATGAGAAACAGGCGTTGACTCTTTCACCTTGACCAGAAACATGGCTGAAGGACTGGACAACGATCGAAGGAAATTGAGGAAGATGACCGTGAATTAAAGGAATACCGAGAAAGGCATGTACCCGCAGTAGTAGTCTTTCATCCAAGATAATGTTGAAATTGAGGATGACACCCCGTCCCTGAGGCCCCAACACCACCGACAGGACGACATGATAGGAGGATGTAAATTGGACTATAATCACAATCTGACAGATAGAGAGTGGGGCTCTGTTCCCGGTACTTGCAGAAGCCCTATGCATTTTTCAGCATAGTAACCCCTCATCGCAGTTGCCGGGATTTAAACCCGAGACCTAACCATTGTGGCACTCTCTCGCTACCATGTTGAAATTGATACGCTTCTCATTAAAAATAATGGAATATATCACTTTGTAATTATTCATGATTAAGAAGTGGTTACAACATTATTATCCAAATAATAATTACAAAATCATATTTATAATTTCTCTTGTACTGACATAAAAAGGTCAAATTGAAATAAAAAGGTCAAATAATAACTGCACAGTTATCTTCAAAAATTCATTTGAATGCCTTCGCGATTGAACTTTAGTTGAAATTTGCTATGAGTAAACTAGACTTAATGAATAAGACGCTCAAAAAATTTCATCAAAAAATTCTACCGGAAACCGCTCCAAATGGAGACGGCCGAACAAAGACTCCTATATAAGGACTTATTTGACTTTTTTTATGTAAGTACAAGGGTCTATCCGACCCTTTTCCCTAAATTGAAATAAAAACTTAAAATCATTTTTAATTTTTTATTTCCTTCTGTTCCAATGCCTTGCAGTTACAATTCTCTTCATTCACATGTATCTAATGTGTATTGGTATGTGTAAATGAGTCATCTTAACATGTAAGATTTGGTTCCATTTGCTGGCCGCAATGGTTCTTGAACAATAGGGTAACGTTTGAATTCAATTTTGTAAAAATAATTTTTTATCATGTATTCCAAATTATTTTTCTGTTTTTTTATATGAGAGGGTGATACAACCTGGTACACTAGGAACCACAGGACTCAAGTTTAACCAAGAGAAGATACAGAAGGCAAAGGAAAATGTGGATAGAGGTGTTGGAAATTGGTGGATGCATAACCCCCTTTTGAAAGATTTCATTTATGGATTTCATTTATGGAATGTTTTGATACTTAACTTTCCTATAAATTATTTTTGAGCATGTCTGCCTTCAGTGAGTCGATCTTATCTAAACTAGGGCCCGAGTCGAACTTCATAAATGGATCTATACATAGTATTTTTTTGTGATATAAATTCATTAAAGTTCTTGGTAATATAAATTAGTGGTTAGTTTTTTTCTCTCTAAAAAGAGAGGGTTAGCTTTTTCTTTCTACAAGGGGTAGTTTTTTTCAATGTGCAGAGTGGCATACTACCTAAAAGGATAAAAGCCCTTGTAAAATTGAGGATACAATTGTTCATCTATTATATGATCTGTTATTTGTTGTGTTTTCTTGCAATCTAGTTACTGGTTGTTTTTCCTACCAATACTTAAATTCTTGATGAAAATACATACAACATTTGTGGTGGGGGGGGGGGGTAATGGGGTATATACAAAAGCATACATTTTCCAAATATGGCCACAAGGTCTAATTAAATCTGCTAAGCCAGAGTCTTATTGCGTGGTTTATAAGAACAAATTAATCAGAGTAGTTCTAAGTATTCCATAATTTTCAAAGGAGCCAAAGACTCGCTCTCTTTTGGTTTGAAAAAATGTGGAGTCAAGCGAAATTGTTCACTAAACTAAATTGTTCTTCTTTTTATAAATCAACAATCATCCATGCAATGTCTGACACGATTTTCATAATGCGTTATCCAAAAACAGTCTCATATTCTAGTACAGGAGTAAGACTGCGTACATGCAACCCCCTTATCCACAATTGGTGGGAGGTCACACTAATGTCAAGCAAGTTACACCATTGAAACTCATCTCAGGGATATTGCCCTTTAACAATAATAAATGATATACTCTAGAATATACTAGTAAACACAGTAAAAAATTATGAATTTGGTAGAGTTATAAGGAATTAAAGTAAATTTTCACTATTTTTAATCACTAAATTAGAGTAATTTCTATCGTTCATTAACAAAAACTGTGTTAATAAAAAAAAGTAGAAGTGGAAATCATTTTGAAATGAAGGTTGTATACAAATAATATCTTTATGTGTAATTTGGTGGCAGTTGGGGACAAATTCTTAGAAACCATTTTCTAACATTGCTTTCGCATTGTAGTTCAAGAAACCGGAAGTAGTGACATTAAGAATGATGACTATTCCCAAAGGTCAGGCGTTTAATGCTTTTTAGTTACAAAGAATCAATGTTTTCATTTCAGTCAATGTGGTCGCATTGCCTAATCCATCTTCTTAAAGTGTAGACATTGTTGAACACTTGAACTGAAATTATGCCTCATCACTTCATCAGCTTCTTTGTAGCTTGAGATGCTTATAGCATAAATTAATAAATATGAAATTATGAACTTATAAAGTAAGTTTGTAGTTTTAACTGTCAGCTTCAAAAACTTCTACAACTGATTTAGATCAAGAGCATAAAAATGTCAAGGACAACATAACTACAAAATGCTGGCGTTCCTTTGAACCAAGTTACCAAACTTCAATGTACATGGCTAGTATCAAAGATGCTCTTATACACGGCTTAGTAACGAGATTTGGTGTATCTACAAGAACCCCAATAACAAAGAGAAGATGATGTGAAATATGATGCTGAAGTAGCATCGACCATCGACCATGGAGCACGATGCAAATAAGTGTATGGATGGACCTGGCATAGCTCCAGACCTGTTGTCAGCTTTAATTGTCAGCTTCAAAAACTTCTACAACTGATTTAGATCAAGACCATAAAAATGGAAAAGGACAACATAACTACAAATTGTTGGCGTTCTTTTGAAGCAAACCTCAATGTACATGGCTAGTATCAAAGATGCTCTTATATACATCTTAGTAACGAGATTTGGTGTATCTACAAGAACCTCCATGAAATAACAAAGAGAAGATTATGTGAAATATAATGCTGAAGTAACATCGACCATCAACCATGGAGCAAGATGCAAATGCATGTATTGATGGACCTGGCGTAGCTCCAGACCTGTTGGTTCCGGGTCATAGGGCAGGTGGAACTGTGAGAGTAACTGGGATATACCTGGTCGGTCCAGTTTTGGGTTACCCAGGCAGTTCTAGTCTAACTCTCAGGCCGGTTTTGGGCAGTGGGAACCAAACCATTACAAAGAAAATAGTTGTTGTGCTGGTAAGGGTCAGTCTGGTACCCATTTTAGGGAACAGGAACAGGTTAGGGCTTCCAGCCATGAAAGTGATGTCATTTGGAGTAATAAACCACACCGGTCCCGCCTCGGTCCCAATCTGGAACATTTATGTGCTTAACGTCTAGACCGGACATCAGACCAAGGGTATCTTCCAGTGCTACGATCTGGGGAGGTTTGTGTTAAAAGGTCATAGTTAATCGATAGCCTCTTAGCCCACGGGCTGTGATTGGGTGACCAAGATACTGGGAATCCAAGCATGGCACACCATCTTAACATGAGCATGGCAATGGAAAGGTCATCTCTACTGCTATATTCCTCTTCATTGAATAAAAGCTCGATTATCTTCCTTTCACTGTCTTCCTCTGTGTCCTCTTTTAGAATAAGGTTTTCATACATGGCACGTCGTTTGTCCAAAACACTTTCATCTACAGATATCATCCTCATACACAAAACCTGCAATGCCTCCATAGCCGTCTTATAGAACCTACGGTCAGCATATGCAAGAAATATGTTGCGGCAGATGGATGAGTTGGGCTGAACTCTGTCCCGATGCATCTGCTCCACAAACATCTCAATCACATCAATCCGTCCCTGAGAATCAACACACAGGAAACTCTCAGGGTCCATTTATAATCTTACAAACAGTGAACCAAATACTCCCCAAGGGGCTTCTGCAGCCAAAATATATTTTGCTTATCATTACAAATGAAAATTAAACCTGATCGCAAATTCCTAATTAGCAAAGGTCACATGATATTTATGGGGGTTATACCTTCTCAGAGGCCTTTTGGAGAATTCTGTTATATAGCAATGCATCTGGTTGAATCCCCTCTGAGATTCCCTTCTTCAGTAACTCAAATGCCTCGCCAAATTCTTCCGCTGCAACCAGAATCTGGCACCACCAAAACCGGCAGTAATTGTCATCAATACAAAATACAAATAGATGCCTTTACTTACACAGCTATCATGTCTGTTCAAGAAAACAATTCTGGTATAGAGAATATAATAATGTATGCTTCTAATTCAATTATTTACACGGCTAATGAAATGTTAGACACCTTATTTCTTTCAAACTTTAAAACTTTAAAGCAATAATGGTAAATTTATAATATCAACCTAAACTTAATGTTCTAAAGTGTTTAAAATACTCTGCATGTATGAAATGGCTACTATGTATTTTACCTGTTTTGACTATGTAAAGTTACCCACTTTCATAATTGAAAATAATTTTTAGCATATCACAACTGGTTTTTTTCGTATTTTCAACTTTTATTTTTCTATTACCAAAAGAAAAAGATACGTACATTTCTATTACATTTCATAATTAAAACTTAATTAATTGTATTGAGATGGAGTTATTATATATAGGTACCATTAAGGTAACTTTTTGGAGGTGATGGGTAAGAGAGGTGAGGTACTCATGTAGGACTTGTAAAGTGGAAAACATAATAACAATTTATGTGTAAAACAAGCAGGACGCATCAAAGAGAGGTGATGTGTTGTCGGTGATATCATTTACCTTTATAAAGCTTGTATAAATATATATCTGCGGAATGAAACCATCACGGATCATCATGGAAACTAGGGTTGATGCAGATTTGAGATTGTTTATTATGGTACAGCAATCAACCATTATTGTGTAGGTTGCAGCATCAAATGGGACCCCACATGATTTCATGCCTTCGAATATGGCGATAGCCATACTGGCCTGGAATTATAAGAGGCAGTCATGATTGTTAAGACTTCAAAGTTCAAAATATATTTATATAATTCAACAAAGAGTGAAAGGAGGAGTGTATACTTCTTTTGCCCTAACAAGAGAATGCAAGACCGTGTTATAGTGATTGGTTCCCAGACAAGTTTGATAGTGAGGATATTGGTTCTCTGCAGCTTGTAAGTATTGAATCATCTCCTTTATAAGTCTCATCCCCCCAAGTGCTTTCAACTGCACTAGGCGCATAACAACAGAAAAATGAAGTTCTCACACTATTGCTTCAGCAACTAATCAAACAGTCCTACTCAAAGGAGTTATATTAGCATATCCCAACACCATTGAAACATAACCATGTATGTATGCATCCATTTAGACCATTTCTTCCTTGTCTTTAGATACATCAAAAAGGAAGACCATTTCTACCTGTTATTAAGATGTTTGATAATGTTTTTGTTTCTCTTCTGACTTATATTTTGAAGGGGAGAAACAGGGATTTGAAAATTACCAGAGACATGGATGGATTCCTTCATTGCACAAAACAATTATTCTGGAACTCCAGTAAAAAATAGCCCCATTATAAATCACATATGCAAACAAGATTGCCAAATGTGTTTATAAAGCATGTTATCGAAGAAAGCAACAACATATCGTAATCCATGTGTTGAGTCAAGAAGATTGAAAGTTGCTCACCAAATTCATCAAAGATAGCTGACTATGATGAATTCCATTCATCATCATATCCATGTCTATAGCATGTATCCTTTTGGAAACATCTGTTTGAAGCACTAAATCATCTTCCGTGATAAGTCTATTCCCACATCCGAACAATGAGAGCAATAACTCATATGTCCTGATGTCTGGTTGAATACCCGACTTTTTCATCTTTACTAATGTTTGGATTGCTCTTTCAGGTAGGTCCTGCAAAAACAATTGATTTCAAATATCAATGGAAAAATGACCCGTTCTTGTAAAAGAGTAAAAGTGTAGGAAAACCAAGGTAACATCTAAATGGATAAACAAGTAATTAAATATCACTGCTTAGGAAAACATCTGTTTGGTAGCCAACTTAGGAGTTGATTAAAATTGTGAGTTTCTATTTACAAAACAGAGCAACAGTTTAAGAATTTTTTATTGTAACTTCCCGTAGTACTAATTCAATTTCCAACAGAGCTTCAAGCTGCTTGAACCTAAAAACACAATATTATTAATTAAAGAAAAGGATGCTGCACTGCATTGGCTTACCAAGGCATCACATGCTTCCAGCAAAGCATTAAATGGATAAGGACCTTCAAAAGAAGACACTTTATCGAGGAAAGACTCTGCCAAATCCAGCTTTAAACTTCTACTGCATCTAGCTGATAAACACACCAGAGTTGAATCATAAGGCCTCATATTCTTCTTATCCATGAGCTTTATCTGCATGATGAAAAAATGATTACATCATCAGATAATCATCAAGTAAAGATATAACTAAAAAATTAGAGTACACAACATGCAAAATGATTCGTTGAAGGCATGCAGCTGAGACAGAGAGTAGAGGATAGGTGCACTACATGAACTTAGTTGTGGAGACCACTAGACAAGAATATCTTACCACTTCAATGGCATCATGGACACCTCTTACAGAAAGAACTGCCATAGTGAATGCGCTATATGTATCTCTTGATGGTTCCAACCCAATATCTTGCATCTAAGTGAAGTAGGTAAGCTTAGTTAGTACTTGTCTACTAGTGTGACAGAAAGACTACTAGATAATCATGTTTTCTTATAGTCATACTATACTTTTGCACAATTTATTAACATGTGCAAGTGTTAACAGTAAAAATGACTAAATGCAAATTTCAATGTAGTATTGACACCTGATAAAGTAATTTCTCTGCAAGAACATCATTCTGCATGCTTGCACAAGCATGTATGACATCATTGAAAGACTTACGCAACAACTTCATTGCAGCAAAACACTTCTGTGTTCTTTTTGCACTTTTTGAAATGCCATAGACATGCCCCTTTGTGGTGCCGACACCACTACGGCCAAGCTTACAGTTACTTTCCTTTCCTGGGGAACTTCTTAAAAGGCTTAAGTTGCCTTTGCAAGGTGCTGGAATGTCCAATCTCAAACTATGCAAGTTTCCATCAGCGTTTATATAAACAATAAAATCCCTCTGGGAGGATATATCTATCATTTTTTGTAGAATCAAGTTAGCAGATTCCAGATCTCTTAATTTCGAAAATGACCATATAAACCTTTGTAGGCAAAGGATGCTAGGGTTGTAGTGCTTCGTACACTCTCTCCAAATCTCATGAACCGCAGATAGGTTTTGCTGCAAAACTGCAATCTGAAAATAAATTGTAGATTGAAGTAATTACCCATAAGTATTCACTACGTGATTGATGAGAAATGTATAAGGAGGAGTATGAGAGAATGGTTGTTATAAGGGGTGTTTGGAACTGATTCTGCTTCTGCTTCTTTTTTAAAGCAGAAGCATGAATCAGAATCAGTTTTCAGAACTAGTCACCCCCTGCTTCTACAAAAACTGATTCTAGGAGCACATTTGAGTACCAGAATCACTTCTGCACTTTCATCCAAACACTCTAGTTTCTGCTTTTGCTCCCTGAAAGAGCAGAAGCAGTTTTAAGAATCAGATCCAAACACCCCCATAATGGAAGCTTGTTATTAATCCCTCATTACAAAGAACACATCAACTTGACGGGCATACTTTTATAAGGAGTTAATAATGGATTTCTCCCTCATTGGAATTAGGTGACATGGCAAGAAAGTGGAATAACTGATTAATAAGGAAATGCTCGTTATACAACTAGGAGGCACTCGTTATACACGACCGTTTTCTTAGTCCAATTAACTACATAAGTTCATCTTCATCGAGATAACACCGGTTAAGAAGTTCCCTTAACTTGATATTTTGACAACTGCAAATCAAACATGCGTGTGGGTGCTTATTTATCTGAATCTTGTAGCTCTTCCTTAGAATTGGAAGCATTATTATGGTTTTTAAGGGGTGTTTGGAACTGATTCTGCTTCTGCTTCTTTTCTAAAGCAGAAGCAGAATAAGAATCAGTTTTCAGAAGCTGGTACCCCCCAGCTTCTAAAAAAACTGATTCTGAAAGTAAATTAGAGCACCAGAAGTGCTTCTGGAATTTCACCCAAACACTCCAACTTCTGTTTCTGCTCCCTGAAGGAGCAGAATCAGTTTTGAGAATCAGATCCAAACACCCCCTTAGTCATTTTTGTGCAAGTAATACTTCCTCCGTCTCTAAATAATTGCAACACTTTCCCCCTTTGGCAGTTTCAAATTACTTGCAACACTTCCTTTTTTAGTATACAAAAATAACTACAATGTCTTTAATACCCCTAGTTAATTTATACGAAAGTACTTCCTACCCACCTTTTCAATTTCGTATCTCCCCCACTAATCTGCCAATCCTCTTTCCTCTTAAATTTCTAGCCACCCCTTCCGTTATCTTCTTCCTTATGTACTAAAATTTCAAGGAGATGCTCCACTACGAAGACGGTCATGACCGGTTCGAACAGGCCCTAAAGTTGAATTTCCCGCATCATTCAAAGCCCATCGTCAACCGTTCAAAGCAATCTGCGAAGATCAAAGGTGGACCAAACCAACCGGCAACCGTGCAAATCTGGAGGAAATTCCTATGAGAAGAAGGTAAAGAAGAAGCTGTGGCGACCCAGTTCATATAATTTCAGGGAACTTGCTGGTAATCAATGGTGGAAGAACAACATCAAGACGTCCAGCTATAATGCTAGGTTGAAGTAGCTTCATTTTACTTAAATTGTACTGTTGATGTACAGTACCTTGTGCGTGGAATGAAAGGGTATAGTGGGAAGAAAATTACTGTATTCGTGTTTCTTAATTCTTGTGCCCATACCTGATGTTGCATCTATTTAGAGACGGAGGATAGTATGTGTTTACTGCTTGTAAAAGCTGAAGTCTGGTTTTTTATTGAAGTGTTTATCTTTACAGTTTTTGTGTAGCTTCCTGATTTTGCACTAACGTTGATGATTATTTCATTCCCTTAATGTATGTTCTATACAACTTACAAGTATGATGATGCAGATTATTAGATGCAGGTACAGTTTAGTAAATGTCTTTCAGTCACCAATTTCTTGGAACCATTGGGGTTCTTAGTACTATTGCCCAAGAAATTCAACATCAGAGAGTGAACTTGCATGGGAAAGTACTTCTCATACTTCGTATTAAATAGTGAACTATTTTTTAGGAACATTGGTGCAGGTGGTGTTCAAGTCGAGTTCTAGAGAAGGGCAGAAGACTAAGCTTTGTGCATATGAAGGCTTAAATTGAGATTAGAAATACTCTAATAAGTATTTGAATTCTCATGCATTTTACTTACTTGACTAATTACCAATATTATAACACTTCAATCACTAACTTTCATTTTGGTGATTGGTGCAGGATTTTCCTGAAGTCAGTTTATAATAGATACTACTTGATAATCACATTGTCATGGCATGATTTTGTCTTTCTACTTGAGTACAAAGATTATTTTGTTACTATGGACTTGTATGTTTCATGATCCTTAAAGACTTCTCTTAATTTCAGATTTCTTTGTAACTCTTTATTGCAACAACCATACCTTGGCGCTTCAGCTAGTGTACCCTGGTCATCAAAATTGCCCATGAGAGTACCCCCATTCAAATCTATTATCTATCCATTCATCAAACGGTTTAATTGGTGATCTAAAGTTTCCCAATGGGTCTGGTATCTGCTTCAAGAGGAAGGCTCCAGATTCGACAATATTTGTGAAATGGAAGAACATTATTTGAATGACTATGGTATTTAGTTCGGTTTATTGTATTATGTTCACTACAACTATTTAGCTTCCATTTGCAATTACAGAGTATGTGTTATTGTACCTTTGACTGATAAATAAATAATAATTAGTTATAGTTCATACTCCGTATGCTTTTTATGATTTTTTGAGTTATAAATTTTTATTAAATATAAAATAAACGTGCATCAAGAATTTCATATAAAACATATTTTTTGTAATATTGGTGGCAATAAAGGAGCTTCCGTTATTAAGTAGTTATCTAAGGGATGCACCATCTCTCTTCCACGTCAGAACTCTATGACCACTCATCCCCCATTAATTCCTTGTAGTGCTAATAAAGGAAGCTGGCCTCATTTTTCAGGAAATAACGAGCATTTTAGTAACCCATATAAGGGGCTATTCCCTTATTACTTATAACCAATATACGACGGGTGTGTTGTTATTCCCATATTTTCAATGGCGTAGTGATTACTCCCTCTGTCTAGAAAAAAGAAGAAGCCGTGATGCTATCATGCTATTGATTTTCTAGGCCTAAAAAAAGAGTCTAGCTTCAGCAGTCAACTTTAATTTTAAGTAACATTCTTATAACGCCAAGCAACAAGCAGTTCTAGTAAATTAGTCCCAACAAACATGGAAATGAGTTTTAGGGTATGTAAGATTATTGTAACTATTCATAGTTATTTGTAAAAAAGGTTAACTTGATTGAGTTGACTAAAAGTAAAAGTGAACTCACAGGAGTCGTCTATTCTCAGGACGAGGGAATATTCTAAAGAAGAAGCTCATGTATAAGCAGAATAAAAGATGCCCTAGCATATCAGCAGGTGTGAACAATCTTACAAACCCAGAAGTCCAGAACTAAAATATACTCCCTCCGTCCCTGAATTATCTTCAAACTTTCCTTTTTCGTCCGTCCCAAAATTATCTCCTCTTTCCCCTTTTGGCAAAGAATTTGTGGTTCACAACCATTCTTACACATTTCTCTCTCCTCTGCACAACTCTCCACCACACAAATCCCACTATCTTAATAAATGTGCCTAGCCGAAATGGGAGATAAATTAGGGACGGAGGGAGTACTATATACTGGCTAACAAACAAAACCAAACAAGCCCAGCAAGTCCTACGTGGAAGTAGGGTCTGGCTAGCAATAACACACTAATGCATCAAATCAAGTACAAATAGAAAAAAATGTGCATAAATGTCCAACTGAAGATGGTTTAAATGATTAGTCCTTTCATTTTCATTAAAACATCTTCCAAAAACAAGAAAAAAAATGATAGAACAAATTCCGTTCAACTTTGTTTAGGCCATGATTGGTAGAAAGTGCGAAACAAGGGACACGCAGTCTCTTCATGAAAATTCCATTTGAGTATATTTCCAACAACAATATTCATAATGGTTGTTGGGATTATGCTCCATTACGACAGTGAAAATACAAGAAAATTAATACAACCAAAGATTAAGAGCAACCAGAAATCTAAGATATTAGAATGCAATCATATTTCATCGATGCTTTCTCAATGTTTAGACTTCAGAGGTGAATTCATAAATCAAGGGTGTTAGTTACAACTTCCTTGAGCAGCAGAAGAGACTGCTCAAGAGAGGCAGCATTCCCTTAGGAGATTGGGTATAACCATATAGATTTAGAATAATGAAAAGATAGACTTCTTAATGTTGTAAGGACAATGTATATAAACTACCAGCACTCTTCAGTCTTCACACACCTTGAGAAGCTGATAATATACGTAGTATTATTTACTCTTACCTAGTTTCTCACAATAGGATTATCCATCAAATCCAAACATTAATTGACATGATTTACACTAATAAAAAGTATAGTCCTAAATGTTGTATGGGAGTTAATATAATGTACTCACAGTCTCACACTCTTACCTTGAGAAGCTGAATATATGTTAATTCATTCTTGCCCACAATCTGATTGTCCATCAAATCCAAACATTGATTTACATAACTTATATTGTGCATTTGAGCACAGGCCTGCAACAAGTTGTTGTATATAGGCAGAAAATAGCATATATTAGGGTCATCTCTCACAATATTCATCAAACGGAGCGCCTGAAACATAAATCCAGGAAAAAAGTATAAGCTTTAAAAAGGCACAAACAATGCTAAGTTATGTGATTGCAAAGATACATACAACACCAGGATACGTAATTGCAAAGATTACTAGCATAAATGATGAGGATGGGATTACTAGCATTGATACAGCAATACCTCATTCAAGTAACCACCCCTGCAGAGTGTCTGGATAGCAAAATAGTAGCATTCTCGGTTGATTGTAATTTCCTTTTCTTCCATAAGCTTCCATGTCTCCATAAGAAACTGCAAGCCATAGTAGCAACTTCACCAAAATATCATCAAAATCAATTACAAACACACAGTATTTCATCAAGAATTAACTTCTTACAAATGGTTCCGCAAACTGCCATGAAGCATCTTGTTTTACATCAACACAATTTGAGTTTAAAAGGCATGGTATCCTCAATCATATGAATTTAAATTTCCCAAAATAAAAAATGTATGCACCTCCGCATGATTAGTCACAACTACTAATTGCATGGGGCATTAAACGTGTTCCATTAAACATGTAAGAATACCACAAATATCTAAAACCTGTCAACTAGGATAAATTTTTAATCTATAATTACCATTACTGCTTAAACTTTCACAGTGTGGGCATTCAATTAATCAAGCAGCATAGCAAAAATGAAATGAAAAATAGACTTATAATCTACAGAAAAGAATGACTTCTAGTAGTTCAATTCAGTTTCATCCTCACCAATGGATCAGGCAGCCTTGCGCATTGTTGAAGGATGTAAAGAAAATCATTAGCATTCAAGGTGCTTCTTCCATGGCCAAACTCTAACAAGAGCCTAGAAGCTCTGCTTCTTTCCCCTAAATAAAGTGCCTCAAGAATATTCTTCTGCACTGATCCTGAACAAACCAATGATCTAAAATTAGTACCTTACCACCTCAATAAAATAGATCAGTTTAGTTTGACTAGACCACGAAAGAAGAAAAAACCTATGATTTCTAATATACAGGAACAGACTTCCTTGGCTAGTATTACAAGTTACAAATAAGCCCCCTAATTAAGTGAGTTATAGTTAAAAGAGAAAAGAAGCAAGTGTTTCACCTTTACCGTGAACAACCTTCTGTCCCTGCAAAAACAAAGATCTTTACATTTAGAAGCATATTACACTCCTTTACAATATATACACATACTAACATACATGCATAGACACCCACAGACATGCTTAATGACAAATTGAAAAACCAACTCCTTTTCTACCCCCCCAAAAATATGGAAATATGAAAGTACTAGAATTGGAGAAAACGTACCTTTTTAATGTCTTTAAGATTCAGAGATCTATACGGAGCTAAACCCAAGCGGGTAGTCCCTCTGGAAATAAGGAAAGAAGTCTTAGAGAAGGAAGGAGTTGTTCTTTGTGTACTAACAGATTCCAGTATGTTGTGTGTGTGCTTGTGTTAACACCTTATATATCACTTGACAATGGATCATACGTACACAAATTTGTGCATCTCTTGAAGACTTTGTTGAAGAGTAAAAGAACCTTGGTTCTAACTTCTAACGCAAGGTACCTTTATTATAAAGGTATAGCCTCTTGATCCCAGAAGTTGAATCTTTGACTCCTTCACAAAAAATGCTTAGATGGGGTGAATAATTCATAAAACATGTAGTTTTCAAAAAGAGACCTCAACAGATGAGACAGAGATCTATATTGCACTAGGCTACAACCACTAGTACTAATAAAAACGCTGAATATAGGTTTTCTTTTTAACTTAACAACCAAGCTAATATCTAAGACTTCTAACAGTTCTAAGTCACTCAAAGTGGTCATTTTCTTACAGTTATGGGAGAGTAATTCTTCCTTTTCATTTGCATTCTGGCAAACACTGAATGTGCAACAGTGCAAGGTGTTTTTTAGTGTTATCTGCACCTTTCTAGATGGGTTTATCAAAAAATGTAGACCCAGATTCTTTTTCAGCACTTCTGGTGTTTTTTGGTTATAAAACGTGACTGATTTCATTGAAGAACGAGTTGACAAACTGGTGATTTATAAATTACATACCCTTGTGTGAATGCATATGAAAACGAGCTTTTTCAGCCTCATTGTCTACTTGTTTGACCCGCGCAACCATGTTTTGCATGAAAGGGTTGGGCCGAGTCGTTCGTCCATCTGGACTCCTCGAGTCTGGACAGTTGATAGTTTGATACAATTGTGAAGATGAGAGGGGTGAGGGTAAGGAGCTGATTGTTGCCTGCGATATTTGGGAGAGGGATTAAAGATTTAGGAGAATAGTCAATAGCGAAGGGACTGGATGTAGATTAGAGATTTAGACGTGTTTGATAATCTGAATTTCTGAAATCTGTGAAATCTGGCTGAATTAACTAAAATCTACTGAGTAGTTGAAAAACTATATTAAATTATACTTGTATAATCAAAATAAGGGGAAAAAAATTAACAAATAGTTAAAATGAAAGCCTGCAAATTGAGAAACAATTAAACAAACTTACGTGAAGCCAGTGAGTTTGTGAAGGACGATTGACAAGCCGACGATTGCCAGGAAGCCAAGAAGGACGGAAGGACTGTGGACAGCTGGACGGAACTCGGAAGGAGGCTCACTGGCTGCTCTCTGCTCGACTGCTCAGTTCTCACCAACGAAGGGCGCCGGACGGTAGGAGTATTGTGTCGGAAGGAACTCGCCAGTCGCCTCTCACTTCTCTGGCTTGGGCTGTTGGGCGCTCTTCGCAGAACGGCAGAATCGCAGTCAGGCAGAATCGCCAGTCGACAATTCTACTTCTAGCTATGGTATTTTTAGCGGTTTTCAGCGTACGAGTAAACTAGAGTTAGGACTAGGCCTGTCAATGGGTCGGGTCTAGACCCGGACCCGACCCGGACCCGGTTATTTTTAACAGGTATGGGTCTATATTTTATTCCGTTTACCCGGACCCGGATCCGGACCCGTTAATATATTTAATAAACGGGTCGGGTACGGTACATATGATTCCGACCCGTTAAGGACCCGGACCCGTTTAAAATTTCTTATTTGTATACAAACACTCTAATACATAAAGTAATTAATTATAACACTTCAAGTAAAAAATTACAAACTATACACACACACACATATACATAATAATAATACATAAAATTATTAGTTGTAATTCTTACACACTAATACATACTAGTACCTATTAGTGTGTGTATTAAATTAATACTCATTTTGACCGTTTATTCATAGTGATAAATGTGTATTATTAATATTATTATATCATTATCATACACTCCATACAATATGTTTTTATACTCTCAATAGTCCAAGACATCTTTTGTGACTTAATTTGAAGTTTATGCTACGAGCTCTATGTACAAGAAAAAGCGACACAGATTGTTGAGTTATACGCAAGAACCAATACTTTATTGGATAAAAGTAATAACATGATAAACCTTGATTTTTTTTAAAAAGTGAGGATGCATTTTGCTTTTTAGTTTGCGCACTTTTCTTTACATTTCACATAGAGGTCTTGTTATTTTCACAAAATTTATAGCGGTATCATACTTGACGGGTCTACCCGACCCGGTTCCGAGACCCGTTGGGTCTGGGTCCGGGTCCAAATTTTCAGACCCGCCGGGTAAACGGGTCGGGTCTGGGTCTATTTTTAACTTAGCGGGTCCGGGTCTGGAACACTACGTTCCGGCCCGGACCCGACTCATTGACAGGCCTAGTTAGGACCTGTTTACTTTGGACTTGACGGGCTTAATGGGAATGGTAACTTATCCGTCCAGTTATATAGGATTGTTTACTTGGGACTTAATATAAATCCAGACTTATTCGCTCAGACATTTCTGACTTAATCGGCTCAGCTCCGTATTAGTTGTCTTTAGCTTTCAGACATTTCTGACTTAATCGGCTCAGATCCTTAGTTCTCCGTCGCTGCTTCTACGCTGATAACTGCCTTCATCAACACATGCCTGCTTTTTCACTTGTCTTCAGCAGCGAAATCACTAGAGCCTTCTTCTTCGCTTCTGCCTTGAATCCATTCCATAGCGACCGAAGCTCTATTCCCTGCCGTCTTCATCTAGGTATTCTCTAAATTATTTATACTCCGTATTTGTTATGATTTTATACATTAAAGAGTTTGTTTATATACGATTGATGCGATTAGCTTCAATTTTGTTGAAAATATACTCGAGATACGCCGAATTTTAGTTTGTGTATAATAAAGGAGTACTTCTTTACATCCAATTGAGATCGTAAAGGAATCGTAAGGGGGGGCAATTTTCTTCATAAATTTAGGATAAATACAGAGTACTTCATAAAAAAACAAAAATACTTCAACCCACTTTATAGTTTCAAATTAAAGGAGTATAAATTCGGATACAAACAAAACAGTTTTTAAATAATTGTGTGGATGATTTGACCCAGAAAGTATAAAATTATGAGAAATGTACTTGTATATAGGAAGAAGAAGATGCACGTACAAGGATAAATTGGTAATTTAATTTGATTCAGACTATACATTCAGCACACATAGTAAACAGCCTGTTATGCTAGTGTCACTTAACCCAGACAGACGTCTTAATACAGACAGACATCTTAATCCAGACAGAACTTAATGACAAAAAAAAAAGTAAACAACCCCTTAGGGATGTTTGTAATTGATTCTGTTTTGCTTCTTTTTTAAAGCAGAAGCAGAATCATAATCAGTTTTTAGAAGCTGGTACCCCAGTTTCTAAAAAAAATTGATTCTGAGAGTAAATTAGAGCACCAAAAGTGCTTCTGGAATTTCATCCAAACACTCCAGCTTCTGTTTCTGCTCCCTGAAGAAGCACAATCAGTTTTGAGAATCGGATCCAAACACCCCCTTAATGAATAAGATGTTCAAAAAATCATCAAAAAATAAAACCGGGAATTACCCCAAATGGCGATGGCCGGACAGAACCTCCTATATAAGGGCTTATTTGACCTTTTTATTTAAGTTAGAGGGCATATTATACCATTTTCCCCTTTTTTTATTTCAACTGAAGTTACGATAGAATATATTTTTCCATAATATTTTTTATATTACATATTCATAATTTTTTTTTGTAATATATTTCTAATCTTTTTGCCAAAAAAAATATACTCTGTATTTCTTATCTTTTTTATACGTTTTTAGTGTTTTTGAGACATTAAATTTGTTTATTTCGATTTAAATTTCATAAAACATGGCATTATATTACATCTTCTTATTGGCGAGTTACATCGTCTTGTGTATGAGTTACATCTTACATTTGGACTTGACTCAACAAGTTACATTTTGCATACACTTAAGTTAAATTTTCCATCAACGCGAGTTACATTTTTCATAACACGAGTTACATCACAAAATAAACTCTAACTATTGATACAAAAAATCAATTTTTTGCAAACAAAAATGATTTTTTGGCCAAAAAATCTCTTTCGGGAAAAAAAAAGGATTTTTGTGGCAAAAATAACAAAAATTTTCTTTGAAACATTTTTAAGGCTTTAACACTAAAAACAAAACATATTAACTATATACGTAAATTAATTTGAACAGATAGACTCCTTATTTTCATTGTTTACATTTGATAATATATGAAGTTACATATTCTTATGTGCTACTTACACCTTCCTATATGTGAGTTACATTTAGACTTGACTTAACAAGTTACATTTTGCATACACTTAAGTTAGATTTTTCATCAACGTGAGTTACATTTTGCATAACACGAGTTACATTATTATGAATACTTTTCTCTAAGCTCAATACCTATATTTCCCTTTGATGGTAAACTAATAAAAGGATTATACATCAATTTTATACTATGTAGTTGTATACACGATGGAGTTTGAGAAAGGTGGATTGCCACACGCCCATATTGTTTTATGGCTGCCACGAAGGGACACGGCTATATTGGCATCACACATCGACAACATTGTTGTTGGAAAATGTGTTAATAAATTTCATTAAATGGTCATTTTGGGGCAATTTTTTGAGTGAGGTCCACTTTCGATTTGGGTCGGGTCAAAGTGGTTTCGGATTGTCCTTGCTTAGGGCTACAATTCGATATATGGTACGTTCAAAACGGATAACGGGTGAATGAGAAATTGATTCTCGAAGTTCGCTTGTTAAAATGAAGAAAACTAAGAAAAGGTGGATTTCTAGTGTGGTTTTTCCCACACCAGAAAACCCAAGGGAATTTGAAGTCTTTATAAAGGGAAACCCCCTCTAAGAAGTTAAGGTTTCTAAAGGGAAAGGCTCTCTCACGCGCGTAGGGGGGTGTGAATCAAATCCCGAAACCGGAGAACAAAAAGCGTGACTTGCGTGCGCGGGCGACCTGCGGACACGAATGTCGTCCGAAATTCCTATCTTCTAAAGATAATGTTAATTTCTGTTCTTCCGGTACATTCCTATTTTATTTTTTGCTCCATGCTAAACTGAAACGTTGCCGCATAAATGCTCAACATTCGTATTTGTCTTAATGCAGCTCTGGACAGTTTTTTTTTGATGAATCAATGCAGCTTGCTGGACATTGATGGTCCAACGGTCATGGCTGTCCAAACGTTTTAACCCATGCAATCCACCCCTATAAATGGCTAGCAGATGCTTTGCAAAACACACAACTCACAAACGTACTGCACCTCTCTTTAGCTCAAAAACTCTCTAGCCATCTCTGAAAATTCCTCTGTGTTCTTGCTTGGTTCTCGTTCGTTGGAACTATTCTGTTGAGTGCCCAACGAATAGCTCGTAGTCATCGTATCCTGAGAAACGGTCGTTGCAACGCTCCTAGCACACCGGGAGGCAACAAATATATTTTGAGGAAATCATGCGTAGCACGAGCCTTGACTAGTTTCTGCTCCATCTCTTTTCTTGTTTTTCTTTTAGTCATTTAATTAATTAATTTTTATTAATTAATTTTTCTTTGTTTTTTCGAAGCACACCCAACATATTCAGCTGAGATTCCGGATGAGAAATGTGATCATGATTATTATGTTGCTGTCAAAGGGTTAATGGTGCATGGGCCTTGTGGGTTTATGAACACATCTTCGCCGCGTATGGATAATGGTCGCTGCACAAAACACTTTCCGAAGAAATTTGTGAACCCTACTACATTTGATGGATGTGGATTTCCTATTTACAGAAGAAGAGACAATGGAAGGAGTGTATTAAAGAATGAGAAATCCCTTGACAATAGATTTGCCATCCCTCATAACCGTGCATTATTGCTCAAGTACGGGGCTCACATTAATGTTGAGTGGTGTAACCAAACTCGGGTAGTGAAATACCTCTTCAAGTACATCAATAAGGGCAATGATCGAATTACAGTTGCATTCTCTGAGGCATCCGACAACCGTACGCCAGAAAAAGTTGATGAGATTAAAATGGGTTGGGTTAATGGCCCAAGGAGAGGTCTGGCCCATCATCCCCCAATCCAGACGAACGTCTATCAAACAAGGCGGTCCAACCAGACGAACGTCCGTACAGGGACAAGTAGATCGAATCCACAGGCAACTCAACGGCGACGAACGTTGC